CAATCTCCAGCTCTGTGAAGCCATCAGCAGCTTCTCCATGGAGCAGGTGGCTATGAGCGTCCTCTGTGGTCCTCCCCAGATGGACAGCCCTCCTCCTGACTCTGATACTATCTCTAATTGCAGGTCGGGTTCCTGCCGGCCGGTGAGCCCACAGGGACAGCTTGTGAACCAAGGTTCCCCATCACCTGCAGAACACAACATGATCCACCTCAGTCATCTCAGCAGGAGTGTGTCTGCCCGTAATATCCTTCAATCAATCAGAATGTGTCCTCTTTGTGCACCAGTTTGGGACTATTTTTTTTTGCCCGAGGAATTAGAGGCAGGCCCTGTCCTCACCTCCCAGTTTTACTGTCTCACCAATCCTGTGAGATGGCTGAGCACATCCAGGCAGAGAGAGTGCTTATTACCTGCTCCATGACAGAATTCCCAAGGAGCAGTGCTGAGCTTGGTGCCCCGGGCTGCACTACCTCAGAGCGGAGTGAATCACTACTGTGTTTTGTTGCCTTGCTCACACAGGGCTTTCTGTGCTGCCACCCACTGGTACCAAGCCTTGCCCCTTCATACCATGTGCTGAGCCAGCACAGCCTGCAGAATCAAGAAGGCGCCGTTTCAGGGGCAGGTGACAGTCATGGGCAGAGAACGGGGAGCAGGCAGTGTTATTCTGTTTCAGCCCCACTGTGGGTTGCAGAATGGGCATACGCCAGGCCAGTGGGAGTGCAGGGCTGACGCAGAGCATCTCGCAGCATTCCTGTCACTTGGTCACATCCTCAATGCTGTGCTGAGCCATAAGCAGCCTCAGTGCACACTTAATGCCCCTGGACTGAGTTCAAGCTGTGTCCTTTCCATCACTCAGGTTACCATCAGTGGATGAGGTGTCAGGACACTGCAGGTCACAGAAGCACCTCTGATAGAACACAGTCAGCTCTGGCCTCCCTCACCCCACAGCTCATACCTGACTCACAGATACTTTTCATGTTAATGAAAGTATGGAAGCTTAACTTCTCTGGCAGGGTTTTCCCATGATTTGAGCTTTCTCGCCTAATACTGAATCAAATTTATGAAGTGCAAACTAATGGTCCATCTGAAACTTCTGTGCTTTTGCTTTTATCTTTCATTGTGATGTTATGTTCAGATAACAGCGGCGAAGAATCTGACCAGTTTGTTTCCCATCTTTAGTAACAAACTGCCTAATTTCTACCATGCAAGAAGATTTGTATTTCCACAACCTGCAGCCTCATGCTGCTTATTGTGTTTGGAGCCCTAGGGCTCAGTACCTTGGAAAGCGACCTACAGTCTATCTGGTACCAGCAGTATAGGTAATAAAACTTTGGTTCTCCACAACCCAGCTGCATCACAGCTCCTTATAGGAAAATCTCTATCTCTCCCTACTCTCTCTCTCTCTCTCTCCTAAAACTTTGTATGTTGATATCTTTCATGCTTGTGCTAAGCCAGATATGTTTTTCCTCGGTTTGAAGTTCTAGAAACAAAAGGACTCTACAGGATAAAGTTACAGCTTCTTGTTGGAATTCAACCTTTCTGAAAGGCATTTCTACACTTCTGTGAAAGTGCTTTGATCTCCCGGAGCCAGGAAGACACAGCAGGCCCTCAATTCTAACATTTCAGGATTGATTGAGAGCCGCAGCTCAGTGACTGATACAAAGACAGTGCCAGCAGAAACTTGTGTTTCTCAGTCATCAAGAGGCTGCAAGGCTCCTGCCAGCACTGACACTGTGAGCCTCCCATAGGGAAGGAATGGACCTGTTGGACCGAGATTTCCTGAGATGAGACAGAATTTTGCACCATACAGGTAATGCAAGTCTTCTTTTCCTTGGCTTTTTGTTGTTTCCCTTTCCCTTGCACAGATTGCTTTCCTGCAGTGAAGCAACCAAAGGGGAAGGGAAGGGAGGGGATTTCACAGTATGAGAAGAACTCCAAGTGATACAGGAAGAGGAATCAGCTGTTTATACGCTATGAGAAAGATTTGCAATGAAAGAAAGACACCCAGGACAGTCTAAATGCACTTGATTTCCCTTGATTCTCATCATATGATCCTTACATAAAAAGATGTTTTGATAGTCAAAAATATGCAGCTGGAGCAAATATCATGTTTTCAATTTTAAGACAGAAAGGCATTTTTGCAGGAAACATATTTAGGGGCAATTTAACGTTGAATTCATGACAATTCCTTGCAGCACTAACTTCTACTGAGTCTAAGCCAACAACCTTCTGAGACCCAGAATCCTCATGCTTCTCTCCAGCCTATATACCCAAGGGGAACTTGGCCTCCAATGAATTGAGTTCATCACAAAAATCACACATGGAGGCAACCAAAACATTTGCAAATGCGAGACTGAATAAATATATCGCAATGTGCTCGTTCAAGTGAACGATGCCAGACAACTGAAAGCCGAGCACAGCGATGAAAATGAATCACTGCAACACAGAGCAAAATGCACAAATCTCACCACCATACAAAGGAGTAGAGAAAGCCAAAGATAGAAGAATTCATATTCAGAGATTTCCTCAGCTCAAATTTCAAAATCACACAAAACTAAAGGTTATTACTCTCATTTCTCTAAAGGGAGTGGTAGAGTTGGACACTGATTGTGAAGCCATGGGAGAACATTTTAATGCCACAATTATTCTCTATTCTGGACAATGAAGTGCTTTGGAAGTGGGTGGATAGGTATCTACCACTATGCGAATGCTTGCCAAGCCACAGTTATTATGTGTTTCACACCATGTTATTATGTGTTTCACACTTTAATGAGAAGAAATTAGTGACTGCAATTTGTGGACATTGTGACACATGCTCAATAAAATCTCACAAATGAGTACTGAGGAAGTATAATCTTTGTTCTTGTTTTTTGTTTCCTAAAGGCCTAAGTGTGCCTAAGTCTGCTCATTGTGAAATGAAAATGCACTGTCATTTCTACAAAATATAATTTGTAGCACATATAATTTTTTCTTGAAGGTGACAACAGGAGTGAGAAATATGATTGATAATTTTCCAGACAGCTGACCTTGTAGAGAGGAGTCATGGTCAAGACAGGAAACACGCTGATACTACAGGATGTTGACAGCCCAGCCTCTCAATCTAACTAAGACTTGAATCTTGATCACTTGAGTTTCACAGAACATGCTCTTAAACTGTACCTGCTCCAAGAACATAAGTGAATTCAGGTTATGAGATGAATTCTAGAAGGATTTTTCTCAAATACTCAGAAGCTAAGTTATTTTCTCTTCCCCATGAACATGCTGATGTCTCAGATCAACTTTTTCAGATACACATAAGTTTGACCCCAAATGTCTGTTATTTACTGAATTCTCATGAGTTTTTTGAGGTGAATTATTAGATTTTTCCCCATTAGTGATCAATCTGTATGTTGTATTTCAACCTCAGGATGATTTGGAAATCTGTAAACAATCTCGTGATTGACACACTTACTGAGGGACACTCTGGCACTTCTGACTAGCAATCCAAACATGTGACAGTGAATGTACTGTCCTAATCAGGGAAGGCCTTTGTCACTAAAATACCTGAAATGCCCCCTGAGGAATCCTGGAGCAGAGGCAATGAGGGACTGTGGTCCCACCTAGATGTCCTTTATTCCTGCAAGGGAAACCACCTGATGACTTCCTCAATGTGACCCACAGTGACCACTCATTCTTCTGTATGAGACCATCTTTTCACTCTGTGAACACTCTTGTTTTTCCCCCTACCTCTTGCCAAGCACTGCAGCAGGCCTAGCCGAGTTTCCAACATTCTCCCACACCCTTGAGAGCTCCTTCCTCAGTAGATGGACTTTCTGTTATTTTGTAATAACTAGGAGGAAAGAAATTGAAAGAGTGAGAAATGATAGAGAGATACAGTCTTGGACAGAAGGTAACTTTTTGAGAAGTGCCAGAATAACAGGAGAGCTGGCACAGATTTAAAAGGCACATAAAGGCCTGAGGTCACTTCACTCATTGAGAAGCACACAGACAACACCAGGAGCCAATTAAGTCTTCACCAAGAGTATAAAGACAACAGGTCCAAATCAACAGACTTGCTCAATCCAACCTCCTTTTTCTCTTCTTTCCTTTTGGAGATTCCTTGAAAATGGGTCTCATGCAACAGCCAGTCATAGTACAAAGTGGTTGTTGGAGCAATACAGTCAGCATCAGTCAATCCTAAGAGTCTGTGTGCCCACAGAGGTGCTCTCTTATATTTTTGGCAGCAGCAAGAAGGTGAGTAAAGCATCGGTGATTTATGTGCCTTGTCAAGTAATAGAAAGAGAACTCACGATCTTCAGTCATCTCATGTGTGTTGTGTGTGTTGTCAGTGATCTTCCCTCTGCTCACTCGTTTCTCCCTTTGGTGGCACTGGTTACCATGGACACAGAGATGTTACTGCTTTGGGCAGTGCATAGGAAGATTTATCAGGAAAGGACATCTTTTTATACCGTGGTGACATTTCCTGTCCACACACTTAACTCTGAGAAAGCAACCTGTTTGTGCAAGATACATGAATAAGCTGCAGGGCTGAAGCCACTGTGCCCAGGACCCAGCATTCCAGCAGCTGGACAATTCAAAGCCAATGGCCTGTGCTCTGATGAAGTATTGATTCTTCTAAGGGTTCAAACTCTAATTTGATTTTTTTTCCTGGATCTCAAGTAGTCACCAGCTAAATGTTTGAATTGCTTCATACCTGAGCTTTCAATAGCCATAAAATATTTTCAGGCTTAGGAGTTTGAAACAGGCTATAAATTCTTGTTTGTGAAGCTATGGTGATTTATATTGTCAGCTGTTTTAATAAGCACATCAATCATGGGCATCAAGTAGCAATATAACACCTACATAATTTAACATCCACCATTCATTACAGTTCTTGCACAACATGGAACATTATATGAGGACATTAAAGTAAATAGACGTAAATAACCCCAATGCTTAAACACACAAATGTTTGAGCCAAATATTAGTCAGCTTTCCAGCACTATGACAAATACTTGAGGTAATTAATTTATAGAGAGAAAAAGTTTATTTTGGCTCACAGTTTAGAGATACAGCTCAGGATCAATGAGTCTCACTGCTTCTGGGCATGAAGTGACCCAGGATAGTGACCAGTAAGCAAAGAAAAAAAAAAAGAAGAAAGTATCAGAGTATCCCTGTCCCCTGCAGGGGCATGATCTCAGGGACCTGAGGAGCTCCTACAAAGCCTTCAACACATGAGCCCCTGGGAAGCAGTCCAGACCTAAGCAGTAGAAATCCGGGAGCATAAAGACGGTAAGAACAAAACCCCAAAGTAGAAAAAACTGGTACTAGTAGATGATGCACATTTCTGGTTAGTTATAACAAATTACACTTTCATCCAGAGCCCCCATGCCTTCATAGTTTCAAGGAGAAAAATAAAAATATGTGCTGAAGGATAGGAATTGATGAATGAATACTTGTTTAACTACTAGACAGTGAAGTAACTGCAGGTTAAAGCTGAGTCCATCATATTTCAGGTGGGATAAACGAGAAACACAGTCTTTGCTCATTTCCTCTAGGTCACGGAGCAGCCACGGCTGCCTCATCACAGCCAACTCTGAGGAAGGATGATTTTGCACTTCCTTGAATGCAAGGCTATAAAGCAAGCACCATGAGGTGAGGTAGTCAGATGGCCTGGGAGAGACAGAAGTTAAAGGACCAAGATACTCAGGAGAAAGACAGTACCAGACACTTGAATTTCCTGCTCATTCCTACAAGAAAGGGAAGTGGATGCAATGGTCCTATCTTTTTCTTTGAATCTCAGGAAAGTTGACTTCCATGCCAGCTCCAAGTCTGTAGGACCCTTTTAAGGCTCAGCATGACTTTGATGGCAGTTTTTAGTCCAATAGTAAACACAGGACTTAAATTCCCCTGATCAAAAGAAAGAAAGGCCTTATAGTTTTGACTGTTCAGGATAACTATTTTTGTCTCTGAGATCAATAAATACACAGACGAAATAGCTAGTTGTACACTTCTTCCCAAAGAGCAATGAGACTTCAGGTGGACAGAGTGATGGAAAGCACCTATTGTGAACGACCCTGACCAACAACTGGGTTGAATATGGTCCAGCCCTCCCTGCCTTGGGCTGTACACTGTGAAATCTACTTTCCTGCATTGCTTTGGATTGGTCCAAACAGCCTCTTTAGCCACGGAGGAAGCGTTGTCTTGTCCTGTTTAGTGGGTAAAATATTCCTGTTTCCACAATTCAAGGAGCTTTCAGTGGGATAGAAAATCTGAAATATTTCTGTTCTGGTCCTGAGCCTGAGCATCTAGGGAAGGTAGTCCAGGGATAATGCAGTTCATCAAGCAGGACCTTAAGCTCTACAAATCACTCCATATGATATTCTGAGCATGGGAGATGTGCTGAGATTTGGAGTTATTCTCTTTTGGACAAACCTTGTGTTTCCTACTTTATTATGGACTCAGAATGAAAGGCAGGTGGATGCTATGTCAGCTAAGGTGATTGTGTTTGCTTCCTGTTGAATCATTTACAAAAAAGCACAAGATGAGAAAGAGAAATCACAAAAGTGGTCTGTAAGGGTTGTTCCCAATAAAGACTATGTGATTTTTAACTTTAATTTTCAACTTGCCTGAACTGAGGGAACACCTAGAAAACTGATGAATTACACTTCTGGATGAGTCCATGGGGGATTTTCTAAGAAGACTGGTGTGAGGCTCAGCAACCTGTGCAAAACAGATCTGGCCTGGAAGTGGGTGACATTGTCCAGGAGGCAGGAGCTGCTGGCAAAGAGCTGAAGATGGACGACCTTGCTGTCGTATGTCCTGAGCCCTTCTGCAGTGGGTACAGGATTTCTTGTCAACGCTGATAATGGACTTCATATCCCTCAGCCTTTGAATTCAGACTCATGCCCACACCTCTCCAGGGGAATTGCAGGTTTCAGCTTCAGATCGGAGCCTCACTAGCTGCCACCCTGCTCTGTATTCTTCCAGCTTCACAACTTTAGCTGATCACCTTCTGCATCCTCCATTGCAGACAGGCATTATGTGGTTGCTCAGCCTCTGTGGGAGACAATCTGATACCAGAAGTAAGGCAGCATCACATTCTGTGGGGTACTTGCTGTGACTGTGGCTCAGAACTGAGAACTAACAAAATGGAAGAGGAGCAGAGGGAGGGGACGAGGCAAGGAAGAGCCACATCATGATGGGAAGCTGGCCAACAACGATCTGGTGGCAGGTCTGGGCGGTATCCGATGATTGTGATGATGATGCTCATTCCATTTTTTCACTTGTTTATCTTCTTAGGTGAGTATCAAGGTGGCAGCCCCGTGCTGGGAAATGTGTTTCAGACTGAAGTGAACAACGTTTATCAGTTCCTGCACCCGTGGAATATGTGAGACAGTGTGGAAAACAGAGGAGACAGATGGTATCCACACAGCTACACTCGTACATCCTTGCTGTAAAATCGCACTGATGCAAAGAAAAGAAAAGCGCACAGACACACTAGAGAATCACCAAACTGGAAATGTGTGACCTTTAGGGAATCGGAAGGGCCTCTTTGAGGACGTATTGCTGGCTGGACGTTGGAGAGCACACATGACAGTTTTCCCTCGACCGGATGTTCCCGCTCTAAATGGTATGCAAGCACAAAACTTCTTTTTAATGTTTGGGTAGTTCACACACCAAAAATGTAGCCCAGCAGGCCTTGCATGTTGTTTTGCTCTTTGTAGCTTTCTTGATGGCCAGTGATAGTCTAAAAATATCATTATTTATATTTATTCTTTGCAGAGGAAACATATTTGTATAACTTTCAGTATAAAGTATTCTAATAACTTCTGTTTTATTACCTATTATTACTAAACTCTTGTTATACCTAATTTATTAATAAGACTTTGTTATAAGGCTGTGTATGTAGAGAAAATCAGTGTCTGCATAAGGCTCACTGCTATCCATGGTAGAAAGCAGCCTCAGCATCCTTGAGCTGTAGCTACCCTGAGCAAAGAGGAATGATGATAGATCTTCAGACTTGAGGTACAAAAACTCACATTCACAACAGCTATAAAAATAAAATGCATGCTTCTTCATACAGATGGTTGGATTCTGAGAAGAGACTTGGCTGTCTTTTAAAGACAGAGAGTGTGTGGAAGCCAGCGCATGGCTGTGCTGTTTATCACTGTGGTTTCTGATACCTGCCAAAGCAAAGCATTGCAAGAGAACTGAAGCAAAGTTCCTTTCTTGTTTTTCCTTCATGGTTCACTTAGCAGAGACAAAATCTTTAGTGTCCCCTTTCCTAATAGGGTCATGAAAGACTTGGAAAAGCGGAAAAGGCTGAAGCCAGTCCCTCTAGCTGCAGATGAACTTCACTGATTCCAGAAAAAAATTCACAGAATATGGTCCCCCCAAAATTTCCTGAATAATATCCACAGAGACTGTGGTGCTGTCTGTTCACAGAGGCACAACAGCTGTTTAAATGAAAACATCAACAGCATCATCCAGAATGCCAATGCATATATTCACAAAATAGAGGCAATGTTAAACATGTATTTATTAGAAATGTTTGAGGATTACAAAATGCCCAGCATGCCATGCATAAAAATGTTTCATAATTGTTATCTTGTTACTAGTATTAAAAGGATTTATTTTAAAATATTTTGTTGCTGGACTTCTAGGTGATTTCCAATAATTTAATCCTTTACACAACCCTGATGTCATATCTATGTATGGATCTTTCTAAACAAACTCATGTATTTAACACAGATATATAGATCAAATAAATTTTTTCATATTTCTAAGTATAAAAAACCTGCTATTTGCTATGAATCACAGAAGCAGACAACATGAAAATCCCCTACTTTATTTTGGCTTCTAGAAGTTCCTGTTATAGAAGTTACACGTCATCGTTTATTTTTAACAAGACACTGACCCACAAAGGTGTAACCTGCCATGACTGGCCAAGACCTTGTTCCCCAATTTTTAGATGATGATAACTGTCAAAAGTATTAAATCAATATGACAGAAATGAGTCAGGGTTAGGGCCGTTTCATGTCAACACACACGTAATCATAAGTAAGGTTTTAGTTTATGGATGGTTGGTGGAGAACTTAGATATAGAGAAATGAGCAAAGAGAAGCTGAGGACATGGAGGGTGTGACTCAGGGCCAACAGGATGGCCGAGACAGAGCAGGAAGAAGGCAGAAGGACCTAGGCATCCCTCGGGCAGGAGAGTGAGCCGGCCTTCCCTGCACAAGGGCCAGCAGAAGCATGGCATGCTGGCAGGCAGGGAGAGTGCCAGGCCTGCAGTAGGCTGCACCTCCGCTGACTACCACTAGACAGACATAACACAGGTCAGTAAATTACGGGCGGATTCCCCACCTCTACAGCGAGATGTGGCTCCTGCTGACTCTTCTAGATGTGACTCCAAGTGCCTGGCAGCTCAGGGTCCACAGGGCCCTGAGGCTGGACAGCCTCCAAAGTGGCCGCTCTGGGCAGGCGCAAACAGCGAAATTTGCGCAGGCGCAGATAGCGCCGAGTGTGGCTGGAGGCGGAGTCTCAAAGCCTGACCTTTCTGGGCGGGGCCGAGTGGGCTTTCTCACGCAGGCGTACTCTGCAGTTTGAGCAATGGCCGTGCGCAGGCGCAGACGCGGTATTCAGGACCATGGAGAGCGACTAGCAGAACAGGCCAGAAACCAGCGTAGCTCTGTCTGGAGCTGCTGGGAAGGGGAGCTTAATGGGTCGCAGGTGTTTCCAAAATGAGTTTAAAAGCTACGTATTTGTTTCTTTCATACATGTGAAAAGGAATCTTCCTTCAGTGTATGACATTCCAGGGAACAAGGAATTTTTTAATAAAACAGTTAAAATCGTCACTATTGAACTCTCCTGATAAGGGAGGAGAGATGAGATAACATAAGTAACCGTCTGCTCCGCTCATTCCGTCCATGTTTCATTTCTCAGTAATTCCTGCCCGAGGTCGAGTTTACAGTCTCCTGCTTGCTAGTCCACCAATAAGGAAAAAAAAAAAAAAAAAGGAAAGAAAGAGAAAGAAAGAAAGAAAGAAAATATATTGCTTGTAAATCAGAACTACCAGTTCCCATCACAGAAAACCCTTTCATTTCCAGTCAGCAGAGATTTCTCGACAGCTGTGAGCTTGTTCAGGACTCCCAAAGTGACAAGTGCGTCTTGATTGTTTTTATTGCCTTTAAATTGCATGAAGGTTCCTAAAGTGAAGCTTCATCCAGTTTTAGTTTCTTACAAAATAATTTCTAGCTTAAACTATTTAGTAATTCAGACTTTCAGAGAAATCTGAATGAGCCATGCCATGCTTCAGGTAACCTTCAAGTCTGCGAGTGGGGTCCTGTGAAGGACAGTGTTCCTTGACTGGACAGGCCAGAGAAAGGAGAAAATAGATCAGTGCACAATTTCCTTTCAGATAGAGGTGTCTCACTGCAAAATGTACAGAAAATTAAGGTATAGCATAGAACATCTGTGGAGGGGTTGTGTCATTACGCATACGTGGTTTTTGTCTCACTGCTGTATGTGCTTCTTTGATGTCAGCTAAAGGGCTGCTTTCAGCATGGTACTCATAGACAGTCGACTTGGACATCATAAAATAAAGTAAAGGAATGGACCATACTGTGAAGTCTCCTATAGCTTCAGTCCAGAAATAGTAAACACCTCTGCACACATTTCACTGGGCAAAACAAGTTACAAAGCCATTTGAATTTTTTTTTATTTTAAAAAAAAGATTAAGATAAAACAGGGCATAAAAACACAGGTCAGAGCAGAACAATTTAAGCAACATAGTGTTTTACCACAAGACAGTCTGACATAACAGCAGCTACCACAGTGTCTCTTTCCTTGAAATATTTGAGTACACCTTAACATACTGTAGTATCAAATATAAAAAGTGTAAAACCATTCAAGAGAATGAAAGTATTGCAGCGTATTCAGAACCAACTAACAGAAAATGAACAATGGCTGTGAATTCCAGGGAAAAATAAAATGTAAAAAAAATGTGGGGTTAGAAAGTAAAGTCAGTGTCCTCAACCTTGATAAATGATGTTCATATTTTTGCCATTTACATGTAATTACAGAATACTCTCCTGTAGAAGCTTCTTTCGTCTGCGAATATTTTCAAGTAAATATTTTTCTGAGTAATGAGTGTAGAAATAAAATAGCAGTGACATACAAAGTTGTCACTTGTGAAGTGGATAGAACAGTGAGATTTTTCTTTAATTATAAGCTAGGATTTTAAGCTAGGCATCAAACAGCTATGCCAGGTTATAAAATGAATCACATAACCAGTTCTGAAATTAAAGATAAGAAAAATTTGCAAATATGCTAATTTTGTTTATAACAGAAAAATTTTGTGTTTCTTTCCTCTTTTTCTCATTGCGTAAAACCACATCGATTCTAAAATGTGGTTGGTGTGTAAATGGTATTCAGAGCCCTAAATCTATGTCTGTATGCACAAATACCTGTGCACTGTTACAGAATAATAGGGCTTAGTTTACAATAGGTAATAATTACAGAATCACCCGCACTCATTTAGTGAATTATGGAAATGGAGGAATAGAAAGAAGAAAATAAAGATCGCTTGTACTCATATTATAAATAAGACCAAACTAAAGTTTTACATATTTAAACTCTCATTTTTAACTCAGTTTTTAAAATTTATAACTAACAATGTGTGTAGGTGTATAAATAATGTGATATGCTGACACATTATTGCTTAGAAACTGAACTAAGGTATCCTGCTTCTGAGTTCCCTATGTCATAGTCATTTCCATGTTAGTAAAAAATTTTTTTTATATTTATTTTTTAAACTCTGGGGCTTGAACCCAGAATCTTCCTACCAAGCCATATTCCCAGATCATTATATATTTTTATTTTAAGATATGCCCTTGTTACATAAGATGCCCAGGCTGGGTCAAATCTTGTGATCTTCTTGCCTCAGCCTTCCAGAGTGTTGGGAGTACAGGAATGCAGCAGCACACCTGGATTCATTAAGCTTTTTAAAAAAATGACCCAAGTGGCATTAAAATGAATTTTCCTACGTCTCTATTTTTGAGCACTAGATTATTAGAATCTGCTTTCTGAGGTCCTCCTTCTGTGTGTGCATGGTGAGATGCCACTGACTCTCAGGTCCTGTACTTTAATAGCCACTTCAGACACTTGGTGACACAAGTATTTACTGATTCCCACATAAGTGCAAGCATCTGCTAGGATTTTCCCACACATGACTTCATCCGTGCAGATACTATGTTACCTCCATTTTATGAGCCAGGAACCCAGTCTTCATTTGTCCCACATCAGAGATTTATTCCATGAAATTCAGTGGAGGATTATGAATGCAGGCAGTCTGAAAGGCAGTCTGAGAGACCTCCAAGGCACTGTGAAAACTATGATCTTTCTGAATGGTGACACCCTTACTACTCAGTCAACTCCTGATTCAAATGGTTACAAACCAGATGCTCTGTACTTTGCAGGACGATGCAGGAGAAGTGCATTGCCTTCTCCAACTCAGGTTCCTAATGACCATTCTGAATAAAGATCCTGTTAAGGTATTTACAGATTAAATTATGAACAATGTCAGTAACAAATCTCTCAATTTCCCTTTGAAACACACAAACTTTCTCAAATATCACAAAGAACATGCATTAAAAGGACATGAGTGTCTCCTCTCTCAGTTCCCACAAACAGCAGTTATGGACATTGTCACTACAATCACACAAAAGGGGAGTTGACTGAAGATAAGTGGCACTATCTGAGCCCATCAGAGAACCAAGGTCACTGGATACAGCTGCTACCTGTAATCTAAAGAGAAAGTCACATTCAGGGTGCTGTTAAGATCTGGTTATTAGAGCCATTATTGCTAGAACCATAATCTATAAGAATCCTTCAAAGGCAAGTTTGACACATTACTGGAGGGTACATGGGGCCTGGCAGGAGAGAAAGAGGCCTGTGTCTGCAGTCTTGGACGTCTCTATGCTCTCATGGGTTCTACCAGCAGGATCCCACCACGTTGACACAGGGAAGTTCACAAAAGACCCCTCCAGTCTCTGGGTGAGTGGGGTGGCTGGAAGGATGACCAAGGTAAAGTACATGCGGGCTATGGACATCGTCCAGAAAAAAATGTCTTTCCCAGACCTTCTCTCCATTCCGCTGCAGTCCTCTTCTCTCACCTAAAGAAACAGAGAAAAAGGCTACATGTGAAGATCACAACCCAGGCAGATATATCCAGGGAAAGACTCACTCTCCTGTGACTTCCCAACTCCTTTATGGGCTCCACTGGGACTGCAGATGGTGGCAGAGTGGCCTGCACAGTAGGCTTTCTCAGAGTAAGGGACATGTAGGGAAGCCCTACCAAGGCAGGAGACAAAACCAAAGGCAGTTGAGAAATCTGAAGTCCCAGAAGCTACAGCTACAAGACAGGATCTTAGCAGTTCATGCCTACCCAGATCCATATAAAACCTCATGCAAAGCACCAGTGTACCCATTTCCTGTTACTCCGCTCACCACGCCTATGTGACAACAAAACAGCAAATTGTAAAGTACATTAAAACTGAAGGAAGTTGAAGAGACACAAAGTGGAGAACAAGAAACATCAAATGTGAAGGAAAAAAATGATGGCAGCTTATAGGTAAGTAATGTAAGAAGGCTGGAATGTCAGCGTGGAAGTGGATCACACTGCAGACACCGATGCCCACATGGGAAGGCAGCACAGGCAAAAATCAGATGTGCCCGTGTGGGTTAAGATGCAAAACACATCCTTGCTTTGTAGCCTCAGAGGACTTAGGACCCCCTTTCCCATAAAAATGATCACATCAGCCACTCAGATCTTCATTTCTAACATCATTTACTAATGAACTAAAGAAGGTTCTTCAGAGAAGTGTCTGACACATAAGATGATCCCAAAGCATACTGTATACAAGAAAGCAAGAAAGGCCTTTTAAAAACTACAGGTGTAATAGATCACAGTGACACTCAGACTACATAAAAGTTTCCCCTGGGTCAGTCCCAGAATCACGTGAGCCAAAAATATGTAAAATGTTTTTACATAGTAACTAAAATACACAATAAAATCTACACTGACATAATTGATTGAATAAATACTAAGTATGGAAGAAGAGACAAGCTTTCTACATAGGAAGCTCTTGTAGCTTCTGATCCCTGAGTCTGGACCTGTGCAGGGGGTTTTCCTCAAAGAGTGGAGTACAGGGTTTAACTTTAGAGTAGGGGCCGATCTGAAGCCCAGTGGTTAGATGCAAATCCAACAGTGATGGGATGTCATGTCGGTGACAGAGACCCAGATGGGTACGATGGAGACAATGCTTCACCTTTGCAATCTTTCTCTCCCTGGTGTCTGGTCTGTGCACAAGCAAAACTATAAACAAATCCCAGCTGGGGTGCATCCTGCAGAGTCCCTGCCAAGCTCTCCCATCAAGGTCATCAAAACAAGGAAGTCCAAGGAACCAGCACGGCCACAGAGCCCACGGAGACTGGTGCTACAGAGAGTGTGGAACAGGAAAGCATGAAAAATACGTTCACTAAAGCTGAATGATGGACAGTTTTTAGGCAGTAATGACTCATCAACATAAC